GGGGGGGGGGGGGGGGGGGGGGGAGGGAATGAACAAGATTGAACAATACAACCAGAACTACTGCGCGAGGTATTCTCTGCGAGGAGCGCTCGAGTTTCATTCTATCATGGAATCTGATAGGCCAAGGAGAAACAAAAGTCATTACGTCACAGAAATCGTTTCCTGGCTCGAGCTTGCAGACGTTATTTTTCGGCGGAACCAAGTGACAGCCGGAAATACGTGTGCGTTCGCAGGCTAATGAAAATTTTAAAATCCCAAAATTTCATATACATGTATATTCATTCATTCAGACCAATTTCAGTATATTAAAATTCAGCCTAAAACAATAGACCTCAGGACGAGGCTCTGGGGAATAACTACAGAGTTTGAGGGGTTTGCTCTCCAGAGCCTCGTGCTGAGGTCTATTGTGTTAGGCTGGATTTTAATATATCGAGATTGGTCTATTGAGCTTACACGAAATTTCCAAGATGGCAGACGCGTTGCAGATGTCCGACTCTCTTCTCCTTTGATTGCAAGTGCAGATTAAACAATGAAAATAACGACAAAACGCTGGCAAAGGAGCACGCTCGCGATTGACTACTGACGACACGAACGGTAGGGGCACTACAAATCACGTACTAAACATAATTTGTGGTAGCATTTTTTGAATGAATTTAATATGTGTTCCTATAAAGATAGAGTGCATTACATACTGGGTTATCGACCAAGCGTGAGGTCAAGATGGCTGGATATTGGTCACGTTCTTTTTTGCATGTTTACGGACCGAGACGGAGTCGAGGTCCATTAACTCGCCAAAAAAGAACGAGGCCAATATCCAGCCATATTGACCGAACAAGCTTAGTTAATAAGTATGGCTTCTGAGGAAATTTTTCTCGCGGGACACGGCAGGTAGTCTCGAGCGTGCAAGATAGCGCCATCTTGTCCGCTCGGGTAGCCAATCACAGCGCAGGATTTGGTTCATCTTGCCCGCTCACGGAGCTAGCCATATAAGACATGAATGTAACGTTACCGAAACTATCAATTTTGTAGAGATGAGAAAATCAAAGTTTTGTCGCTACCGAAATCTTTCTATTTACTATAAAGCTAATGATCAGTGAATCGTGGGAGTTAGAAAAGTCCCAAAACAACAACAACAACAGCAACAATTACTTAAAGAAATAGGCTCATGACTCCATTTAATACACGCTATCTTTTAACGTTCATACTTTTCCGGAAAAGGTAATCAGCGATGAAAGTGGGCAAAAATGAAATGAAGATGGACACTTCTGCATCCAGGCCAACGGGATAGCGAGTTTGAGGTCGCTGGGAAATCAGGGCATCGATTACCGCGTCCACAACTTTGGAAGTGTCTGAAGAAGCTGTCCTGGAAGATTTACTGATTCCCTTTTTAACTGTCGAAGGAGAAACAGAAAGAACAATTATTAAACTTGAGCAGTGGCGTGTTAGCTCAGGAAAGCCACCGGATACTGTGTTAGGCTGATACGTGGTTGGTCTGATCGCAAATGAACCATGTTTGAGGATGAAAATTGTTCCAATCAGATGGCTAATAATTCCACGAACCATAATGAAAACATTTCATTCATTCAGCGCGTTTGATATTAAATTACTAGCCTTTTGTAGACGCTCGGTTAGAGGAAAAAATCGACCAGAGAAAAAATTGGAGATGGGTGCTGTAACATGCGTAGCATGTGTCCCTGCCCCCTCTCCTGCCTCCCGAGGGTGGACTCCCATGTGAAAAGGTCAGGGGTGCTCTTCGGAAAATTTGAATTTAACTCCTAAAATTGAAGAGACCAATCTAGGCGTGGCTCGAGCTTTGTTTGAGCCCTAAAAGATACTAATAAAAAGAGAAATGACGGCGTTCTTTATTATCATTTGTCTGAGTGCACATTTAAAGATATTTTGTCGGCCAAGAATTAATAGTGGCGTTTCGTCTTTAAAACCCTAAGTGAGGCCAAAATCGTTGATTTACGTCCCTAAGCGAGACGAAGGGCATCCCCGACCTTTTTATATGGCAGTTTTCCAGGGAGTTCCCGTACGAATGAAACAGCTTTTTCCGTCGATTTTGTGTTTTTGCCCCAATGTTTGCGCGACCAGCAGGCAAGAAACCCTTCGCTCGTTGCTAAGAGTACGGAAGACCAAACCACTCCCCTACTTTGTTTCTCTCGCCGTTTTCCCCGCAGCTCCCGATTAGTCGAACGCGTGGAGCAGGCCACTGCACTAGGAAAAGCGCATCTCTTTCTTAGTCCATTGATCGTAGACCACGAGCTGCCCACCACCCCCTCTTTTTTTCTTAGTCCGTCGCGTTTTCTCGCCCTCACCTTAAAGAGAATATACTATATAGAGGAAAGCGTGTTTCGTCAAACAAAGTGCGTTTAAACGAGTTGAAAGCGGTATAGTGTGGACGCATTATCAATGGTACAGACTCAATGTTCTCAGGTGGACACCTCTTAAAATAAACAGCTGGAGCAGCTGCAGGGGATACTCGCCTTATAGAAAGTTCGCCATATAAGAGGAACCGTGTTTCGTCAAAGACACTGCGTTTACACGAATTGACAATGAAGTCATTCTTGTAGATTTAATGTTCTCAATATAAAATCTTACTTCGATTTAGTTTTCTCTCTCCATACTCCTCTTTTAACTCTGGACTGAGGCCATCCCACAATTCCTGCACTACTTGGATATTCCGATCTTCATTTGCTATGGTAGTTTTGAACAAACCCGGTTCGATAATACTGACTTGTACTCGCCACGGGGCCATTTCCCGTCTCAAAGCATCGGAAAATGCTTGTACTCCATATTTGGTGACGCAGTAGCAAGAGAGGTTAGGCAGTGAAACACGACCTGTAAAAATGCGAAAGTATTTTATGTTTGGTATATGATGTCTCGTAAACTTACTTTCGAAACTGAATTGTTAGCTAACTTGCAGGAATTGTGGTTGTTTGCTTGTTCAGAAGTGAGGATTGCGTTGGCCACTTGCATCACAACAAAAGTGCTAGACACGTGGCCTGTGAGTAGACTCCGGCTAGAAGGGCTTGACCGCGCCTGGAAGGGCTGCAAAAGAACTGGCTGAGAGTGAAGTGGCCGAGTGGGGGGTTAAGGGACCGGGGGGGAGAGAGGCGATTGGAGCGGTGGCACCTATTCTTTCTTCCCTCCTCTCTCTTCTCTCCTCTTTCTTCCCGGTCTCTCTTCGCCCCATCCTCAACTAGAGAACCTGTTCGCAAGCTACTAAACACGTTGCACGAAACATTGCCTAGGAAAAGATTCAAGAAACAAAATTTGAAACGACTTTTGTAATTTCATTTTGTCACCGAACGCGCTGGAGCGTTTTGTCGACTTCAACTTTAGTAGAAGACAGAAATGAGAAAAAATGCCATCAGTCGTCAACACGTGCTCAATCTGTGGGCATCGTTAAAACATGAAAGCTAGTTTAACAAACAGAAAAGGTGAGTGTCCGTTATATTGGGGCCACTCGAACAGCGAATACTTTACATTTTTTGTATATTTTATTGACTACAGAATGAGAGATCTTATAATGTAAACGATTATCGCTTTAACAGTGAAAAAAATGCTAAAATAATTTTGTCGATATGGATAGCCTCCATTCCAAAGCCATTAGAAAAATGCACTAAAAGTGTCCAGTATTCATGGTTCTAGTGCCAAAAATGAAAGAAATTATTTTACACTTACCTAACATACTCGATAAGTTTACTACTCGTCCCCGGGCCTTCTTGACGAGCGGCAGGAAGGTTTTTGTGACGTCAATCATCCCCCACAGATTAACGTCAGCAATGCGTTTGGACTTTTCCAGCGGGATCCACTCTATTGGTCCAATTAGAGTAATTCCGGCATTGTTTACTAGTCCCCACAGACCTGAATAAATGACCGGAGTAATTGTGCTGAGTTAAAAAGCAACTGTTGATTCTTCCACTTACAGTTATTCTTCGTGCGCGCAGTTGTTGCTGTCAATGGTGGAACGATAAAGGATAAAGCATTGAAACGCACTGAAAACGTGCGCTGGGGAACTAGTCTCATATAAAGCCGTTTCTCCGGTCGTCACGCAACCCTCCTCCCCAAAACGAGAAGCATTGGGTGACGACTGCATAAAGGGCTAATGGGAGAAGAAAAAGGATGGAAACAACTTCCAGTCGAGCCAACTGAGATCCTTGCTCTTCCTTATGGTTTATCTTTTCCCTTGATTTTCTTGGTCGTACCAAAGAAAAATCCCATAAGGACTGTAAAGAAATTGCAAATGACATGGACGACTAAAGGAAAGGCAGAGATTGTTGGGAAGAAACGATACACTGATCTTAGCTTTCAAAGTTCTCTGTGGGTATACTTGTTGGCAAGGCCTCCGCAGTCGATCTATGGAAGAATTTGTCGCAAGTATCAATTCCGTTGCAAGGATGCAAGCTCGTGCCCAGGGTCTCTCTTCTTCCCGTTCCCCAGATGAGAGGGGGATAAACAAGATTATTCAATACAACGAACTAATTAACAAATGTCATTCCTCTGACCCTGCTAACAGTTCCTGCAAATTTCCGGATTCGTAATAATTTGGTGTTCTTTACTTCTGTTTATTTGCTGCGCGGTTCCTTTTCAAAATCTAGGGAAAAACAACGCGCAAGGCGAATATATGTACGCGTCGCGGTCCTACAGTTTTTTGCAAAGAATGTTTAGCATACGTTACCTTGATCCGAGGGCAGTTGTTCCTTTACTAGCTCGTAGAGGGTTTTAATCTGCTCTGAATTAGTAACATCTAACTGGAAAGTTTTCAATCTGTCGCTTGTCGCAGCTTTCAAACTCTGCTCTCCTTCTTTCGTTAAACAAGTCGCCAACACACCAATCCCCATCTTGTCCAATGTAATGGCGGTTTCTTGACCGAAACCCGAGTCGCAGCCCGTGATAAGAACGTATTTCTTGTCCAACTCACCCACCTTTCTTCTCGAAAAGAACCTAAAAATAGTCAGCGTAAAGATCACAACTATGGCTGCTATCAAACAGGTAAATAGCAGGGAAGAGCTATCCAAAAATGACAGAAACATATCGATGTTTGTTTTCGGTTCAGCGATGTTTGTACACGGTATGTGTGACACAAACCAATTAGTAGATCGTGAAATATTTAAAGCTGATTTCTTATGTCAAAATAGTCAAGAGGTCAATTAACACATCAGATAATGCTCGACCCGCCCACACGCATAACATTCTGGAACATTGTTTGGGTAATCAGCGGTGATTATTTATCCCGATCTTGCGGTCTAATATTTGCATCATTCTACACGTTCACCCTTTGAGCACATTATTTAAATCGTGAGAGACGGCAGAGGAACTACAAATCACAATTTGACGAGGGAAGGATGTACAAGGATAGATTCCATTATCGACTTTCCATGCCTTTGAAATTGCTAATTTTACTAGCGTCACGCAATAATCAGGTAACGAAAGCAACAGCAACCAGCCCTCTGCGCGTTCCCCAGAATGAGTGCAAGAATAGCTACCACCTACAGATGTCGTTTCGTGACCATGTATGTTACCAGAAACTGACTAGTGTATTTAGTCAGAGGATCAAATTTGTGACATTATTTCGGAACAGATCAATTTTGGTATGTGGCACATCGGTTCACCAGCCGGAACGAGTTAGGTCTCGACATGTCCAATGAAATTTATCCTTTTAGCTAATATCCTTTCTCCTTTTGTTATTTTTCAGTTGAACTTAACTCACCTTGTAAAGACATAAGCGCTGGCCGAGTTAGCTGACTTCAGTAACCTTTTAGCTCTCATACCGTCGTGTTTGATGACATGCAAATTATGTAATATTCTTCAGTGTTATATTGTTTACATTGTTTACATTGTATGCTTCGTGCAGTACCAGGTCAATCGCGGCCGTAAACTTAACAGGTAACACACGGACATACGATCCTAGAGCAAATAAAAGGCTCAAAAAAATAATATTGAAATTTTTCTTTCTCTGCTGAAATATATGAACTGATCTTTGACAATACATGTAATGCTAATAAATGTCTTATAATCTGATAATTGACGCCAGGCTTGGACTCAGCCGAGGAAGCGATAACTTTCAAAAGTTGAGGTTGTAAACAAAAAGATGTACATGAAACAAAATTCCTGAAAAAATACGAATATATCGTGTATGGATCGCGAGATGGAGACATGACCGGAGACGACCTCCCACCACCCCACCCCCCGCCACCGTCTCCTCCCCCGACCGACCCGACCCGAACAAATAGGGTATTAGCGTTTGCGTGAGACTGGGTCGAAGAAATTCAACATGGCGGAAGCACCTTCTATTCCTTGATGAAAATCACACAAGTTTTTCTCCTGTCGAGTGCCTGGAAAAATGACAATTGTTAGGGATTGGGAATGGGAGAAGAAAACCCTGATTTCCCCAGTCACGAGTGTCGAGTTTTTGGGTTCAGACGTGCTTCTTTCAGGTGAGAAATAAGCTTAACCTAGTGTAACCCGGTGCACACATGGTTGTTGTAATTACAACTTTTCACTTCAACCAAAAATCACTGGTTGTTTCCAGTTACTATCTCTTCTCCAACAAGCAATTTGTATGTTGAGATGGTGTGTTAAATCTGTCGTTTTTAATTTATATCATCAGGAAACGGACCATTTCTTGGTATATATTCAGTATCAAAGGGTGCTTTGCTAAATGAGAGATACCTTTTGCAAAGATCAAGGATACATGGAATAAGAGGTGGGTCATATGCAGAGATATGAATGAGTGCAGAGTGCAAGATGTTCCAGAAAAAGCCATCTGATGGCGGTGTGTATTACTGGAAACATTGACTACCTCTGCAGGGTAGTCTGACATGAGATGCTGGGGAGGGGGAAGGGGTAACATGTAGTTAAGTACAGAGCTTTCATTAAGGGTTGGGCACCAGGCAATTTGACCAGCTGTGAGGATGATTTTGATCACTTGGTTTGACCGTCTAGAGGAAAGATTTTCTTAAAGTGCTACTGAAACGAAATTTTTGTATGTGAGATTTTTGGTTAGTAATAAAGTTTCAACCTTACTTGGAAACACTGCAGACTTTTTTTTCATACGGTAAGCGAAAACTGCTTTTTCAGCCATTCGAAGTTGGCTGGTTAAG